GATTGACATTTTTCTTACCCATAATATAGGAACATTGTTGCCTAGACAGTTCTAAAGGATTCCAGAAACAAAGAAAATTAGAGAAACACAAAAACATAAACAGATAGACTTAGGGGAAACCAGGGTTCCGAAGGCTCTCTGGCAATTTGTCCCTGGGTGCCAGCAAGCTAGCATAGTTCCTTGAGTTCACACAGGGAAGATTACCATTGATTATATGCAAAAATGAAGTATCTATAGTAACAGTACAATCAGAGCCAAAACAGGTTGTGATGAAAGCATATGTCCTTATTCTCATGAGACAGAAGACTGTCGCCCAGAGAAAATGCAGACATGGAGTTCACTTTACATAGCCTTCAAGGTCAACAGCACCTCCGTTTCAGATGCTATCTTTCCAACAGTATGGAGAAGGCCTGTACTCCAGTCTCTTAACACTCTCCAGAATTCTCTTTTAAGCCTTTTGCGGCCACCTCTCAGTTCTCTCAGTGCTGTCAGGCTGGAATTCCAACCTCTCAAACCTTTTCCCCTTCAGCTCAACTTCAGAGTTCCCTACAGAAAAGTACTTCCTTCTACCAATTGATACACTACAAGAAAATCTGTTTTCTCCTGATTTTGTGTTGGTCTAACTTCATTTGATGTGCTATTCAGTTTTGTTTTTCCTTCCCACTACTTTTGAATATTTTAATTCACTGCCAGTATAAGATTGGAACTAGTGTTGAAAAAAAAATAATACAGTGACGACATTTTCTCTATTAGAAATATCACTGTCACAACATCTCACAGATGTTTGCTCACTAATTGATTTTGATCTCTGAGGTATTTCACTATTAACTAACACAAGTGAAAATATAAGCTTAGAGATCTACTGGAGAAAGGACTCAGGAATATGTAACGCATTTGAGCATTTGGTCATATTTATCATTTTTGTCATCTTGAGGGTTCCTTGAGCCTCTCTATATTTGCCTTCACCTTCCATGAAGGGCTATTAAAATAAAAACCTTGTAAGGAACATTTTTTTCCCCTCCACCTTTATTTTGTATTGTAGAATGTAGGCAAAGTTTACAAAATTTCATGGTAGCAGTTGTTTTTTACATGGGAAGGAAATATCAGGGTATCTATGACCATATTTCAATATTTAGCATTTAAACCAAACATGGTAAACCACGGATATTTTTATGTGGGAACTCAATTAAATCTTATAAGGGCCTAATCAATCATTGGTTACTTTCTGGAGTACAGTTACTGTTTTTTTTTTTTTAATATTCATGTGGACACTGCTTTTCATAGATCTAGCAATGTTCTATGTTCTGTATTCCATGTGATATCCTGAATGTGTGCTGCTTGCTTTTGAGAGAAGGTCTAAATAGGATTTATGGTGAAGCAGTATGTGTCAAACAGGAAAAATATTGGTTTAATTCATTTTTACCCTGGTGTGTACTGAAATTTTATCAAAAATGATAATATAATTTTTCAGACACCTCCTTAGACTTAATGTTATCATGCCAGATTATTGTCTCCTTAGAGTTTTTATCTTCTCTCTACTGCTAGCAGCAGAAATATGTTTGTGTGCATTATGGAAACTGTAATTTTTTATTGGTCTTGGGGCTTGAATTCTGGGTCTGGTTGTTTTCCCTCAGCTCTTCAGGTTAAGGTGAGTGCTACCACTTGAGTGACAGTGCTACTTTCATTTTCTGGTGGTTTATTGGAGATAAGTGTCTCATGGACTTTCCTGCCTGGGCTGGCCTTGAACCTTGATCCTCAGACCTCAGCCTCCTGAATAGCTAGGATTACAGGCATAAGCCACCAGCGACCTGCAAATCTGTGTATTTTAATGACCAGGTTTATGTATTGTCAAATGTTTCTAATTTGCTATTTAATTTTCCCAGTGAATAGTTAACAAAGCTAGCTGCAAACATTTTATGTAAGACAAAAGCATACCTGCAACATAATGAAATTCCAGGTTGGAATTCTCAAAACCCAGTCTAATTTCTTGATGGAAATGTGCCATTACAGAAGCTGATGTCATTTGATGATGTGGCTGTGAACTTCACCTGGAAGGAGTGGCAGGATCTGGATTCTGGTCAGAGGAACATTCATAGAGATGTAATGCTGGAGACCTATAGCAACCTCATGTCCTTGGGTGAGCAAAGGTTATTTTTACTTGGAAGATCAAGTGCTTTTATTTTAGTAGACATTAGACTATGTTATTTAGGGAGATGATTCCAGTCCATTCCCAGGTAAAAAACTGCTAGTATATAAGCCAGTCAAATTTGAGTCTGAGAGCTTGGTGTTGTTTGTCTTTCACACTAGTGCTTGAGCCACCATTCTATTTTCACTTTTGTTTTGGGGCATATTCTGAGTTTCCATGCCCAGGTTGGTTTCAAGCCTGCCTCTTCTGATCTCACCTCCTAACTGTAGGATTACAGGTGTAAGCATTTGGACCATTACAATTTCTAAAAAAAAAAAAAAAAAGATTCCAGGCCATGGGAATTGTTATTTTTTTCTAAGGGAAACTTAAACTTCATTATATGTAACACAAGAGTTAATTTTATTCTCGTTATTTAGGAAAGCAAATCAATAGTTGGACAAAAGTTCTAAGCTATGATCCACTAATAGGAGACTTACTTCCCAGACTTGGGTAATTGTTATAGGTGGATCTACAGTCTAGAATAGAACATACATTACTACTGACAGTATGCTCTGGAAATCAATAAGTAAAAGTGTGTATTTTTAAGCCAAACCTGCTACAGGGTTTAGTGCTTCAAGCTACCAATCCTAGATACTCTGGAGGCTGACATCTGAAGATTTCAGTTTGAAACCAGCAGTGTAGAAAAATGACCATGACTTTATCTCCAATTAACCATTCAAAAACTAGAAATGTAGAGGAGACTCAAACTAGTAGAATGCTATCTTTTAGCAAAAGAGCTGAGTTCAAGCCACACAGTTGGCAAAATAAACCCAAAGCTGTATGCTACTCCACCATGGAGCTGTTAAGAATTGAGAAACTGGGCTGGGAACGTGGCTCAGTGGTAGAGTGCTTGCCTTGCATGCTCAAGACCCTGGGATCGATTCCTCAGTACCACATAAGCAAAAAGAAAAAAGCCAGAAGTGGCGCTGTGGCTCAAGTGGTAGAGCTCTAGCCTTGAACTGAAGAGCTGAGGGACAGCAAGCGCCCAGGCCCAGAGTTCAGGCCCCACGACTGGACCAAAAAAAAAAAAAAGAATTGAGAAACCATGGGCTGGAAAGGTGGCTCAGTGGCAGAGGAATTGCCTTCCATACATGAGGCCCTGTGTTGGATTCCCCAGCACCACATAAGCAGAAAAAAAAATAGCCAGATTTGGTTATGTGGCTCATGTGATACAGTGCTAGCCTTGAGCTGAAGATCTGCCAGACAGTGCCCAGAACCAGAGTTTAGGCCCCAGAACTGGACCCCCAACCCCCAAAAAACAATTGAGGAACCAGAATTAGGAGCAACCTTGTGAACAGGATGTCTGCGACCTTTCGTTAATGATGACCTAGCAAGAGCAATAATTCTCCACTATTTCTTAATCATAGGACACGGTGTTCCTAAACCTAAATTGATTGTGATGCTGGAACAAGGTGCAGATCCATGGATAAGAGAAGCCTCAGACAAGAATTTCACAGGTGAGTTAAAGCATCTTGAATGGTGATGATGGGTCCAGAGCCCAGTTGGTCTGTTTATCTTGAGGTGTACAGAGCAATAGTATTCCTAGTGCCCTTGAGTCATGTGTGGCAGAGAACTAGGTGATCCTTTGTCTCAAGGAATTGTCAATCCAGAATTCACATGGAGGCAAGCTGAATTTGGTGTGCCAGTGTATTTAATGTTAGGAATTCTTTGTCTGTAGAGAAGTCATTCTTTTTTTTTTTTTTTTTTGTTGGTCGTGGGACTTGAACTCTGGGCCTGGGTGCTGTCCCTCAGCTCTTCAGCTCAAGGCAAGCGCTCTACCACTTGAGCTACAGCGCCACTTCCAGTTTTCTGGTGGTTTATTGGAGATAGGAGTCTTACGGTCTCTCCTGCCGGGGCTGGCTTTGAACCACGATCCTCAGAACTCAGCCTCCTTAGCATCTAGGATTACAGGCGTGAGCCACCAGCGCCCGGCAGAAGTCATTCTTTAAGAGAAAAAGACAATAAGAAATGTACAAAAGGAGATCCCATTTTCTTTTAAACTAGTATTATGCAGGTAGGAGGAAAATAGGAGAATGGTAGTGCTGCTATTCTCTGATCAGGACAATAGCTTATGAGTTGTGCTGGGCATAGAGTGAGATTCAGAATGGAAGCATTAAGAGTATGTTGATGAATAATTTCAGTAAATATTTCCTAGAAAAAAATAGAAAAATCTGAAATACAGAAAAACATTATTTTCCATTTTAAAATGTCAATACTACATTCATAGTTAGTACGTTGCAGAGAAAAGTTTATATTCTGCACAAAACAATGCTTTGATATTTGAAAATCTTGTCACAGTTAAAATGTGAGAAAATACCATTACAGTAAGGAATGTGTGGATCTCATTTATGTTTTTGCCTATTTTTCTGTTATGCATTTTAGATGTCCAAGAAATGGAGGATGTGATTAGCACCTGTCAGGAAAGTCACAATAAGTATCTCTCTGAAGTAGCAGTCAGGAATAATAACCCAGAAGAGGAAAAAGTGAGACTTTTAAGAAGTTTTAATTTGAGCTCAAAACAGAAGTCAGAACTGATTAAGAATAATGGGAACTCCTTAGGGATGAGGACAGAAAAGGTCACTGGGTGTCAGAACATGGGTGTTTTCAGTGAACATGGTAAGATGTGTGCTGTACATAGTCCCCAGGTGTCTTTGTAGTTGAAGAATATAAACAATGTAAAAGGTCTTTCACTGAGAAGACACACCCTATTGTCCCTCAGAGAACACATACAGGAGAGAAACCATATGAAAGTAAAATGTGTGGAAAGATTTTCACCAGTAAGGCATACCTTACTGTCCACCAGAGAACACACACAGAAGAGAAACCTTTTGAATGTAACATTTGTGGAAAGTCTTTCACCTGCAAGACATATCTTACTGACCACCAGAGACCATACACAGGAGAGAAACCTTATGAATGTAACATGTGTGGAAAGTCTTTCACCAAGAAGTCAAACCTTACTGTACACCAGAGAACACACACAGGAGAGAAACCTTATGAATGTAATATGTGTGGAAAGTCTTTCACCAAGAAGTCACCTCTCACTGTCCATCAGAGAATACACACAGGAAAGAAACCTTATGAATGTAACATGTGTGGAAAGTCTTTTACCCAGAAGTCACACCTCACTGTCCACCAGAGAATACACATAGGAAAGAAACCTTATGAATGTAATGTGTGTGGAAAGTCTTTCACCCAGAAGACAACTCTCACTGTCCACCAGAGAAGACACACAGGCAAGAAACCTTATGAATGTAACATGTGTGAAAAGTCTTTCACCAAGAAGTCAAACCTTACTGACCACCAGAGAACACACACAGGAGAGAAACCTTATGAATGTAATATGTGTGGAAAGTCTTTCACACATAAGTCACCCCTTAATGTTCACCAGAGAAAACACATAGGAAACAAATCTTATGAATGTAATGTATGTGAAAAGTCTTTCACCCAGAAGCTGCACTTTACTGTCCACCAGGGAATACACACAGGAGATAAACCTTATGAATGTAACATGTGTGGAAAGTCTTTCACCAATAAGTCAAACCTTACTGTCCACCAGAGAACACACGCAGGAAAGAAACCTTATGAATGTAACGTGTGTGGAAAGTCTTTCACCCAGAAGATACACTTTACTGTCCACGAGAGAACACACACAGGAGAGAAACCTTATGAATGTAACGTGTGTGGAAAGTCTTTCACCAAGAAGTCATACCTTACTGCCCATCAGAAAACACACAGGAAAGAAACCTTATGAATGTCATATGTGTTGAAAGTATATCAGCCAAGATATATATGTTACTGTCAACCAGAGAGCACACACAGGAGAGAAATTTTATGAATGTAAGCTATGTGGAAAGTCTTTCACCCAGAACATACACCTTTCTCTCCATCAGAAAAAAACCGACCAGAGAGAAATGTTATGTATGTAGCAGGCACGGAAATTCTTTCACCTGGAAGGCACAACTTAACATCCATCACAGAACACAAGGAGAGAAATCTTATGAATGCAACCAGTGTGGAAAGACCTGGAGGTCACAGCTTAACACACATAAGTTGATTCACACAAATGAAATAACTTAGGATTGTACCAAATGGGAAAGTCTTTGACTTGTAAGACACAGCTCAGGGTTCATCATAAAACACACAAAACACAGAGACACACAGACACACACACACCCTCACACACAAAGAGGAGAGAAATCCTATGTAGCAAAAATAAATGGAAAGGTTTTCAAGAAAAAGTCCTAACTCAGTTTGCATCAGAGAACAGACACAGGCGAGAATATACAAATGTAACAATTGTGGAAAGTCCTTTACCAAGTATTCATGGATCCAAGTTCATAGGACACACACAGCGGAGTAATCTTAAAAATATGACAAATGTGAATAAGGGAAACCATGGGACCTATTTTTGCAATATCAAGTATATGTATGAGTCAAGCAGAAAAGGTCAGATAATGTGGTGTTAGGAAAATGAACCCTTAGCTATGTATTTAAATGTTGTTTTTTTCTTTCATGCATTTGTTTCTAATGCATTTATAAGATTATTTCTTTGTGGCTTTGTATGTCCCTCCCCCACAGTATAATCCCTGGTTTCACTATATTTGATGTCAGTATAATTTCTGGAGGAGAAGGGGAAAATCAAGTCATTTAAGCATACAGGTGGACCTGTTGCAACAATGAGAAGTACAAGTTGTCATGTCAAACATGAACTTTACAACTTTGGTGGGGGGGGGAGAATAGGGTGGTGGGGCGGGGGGAGGCTGGGAAGGGATGTGAAGGGTAAACAAAGGAGGAGGCTGCAATGCTTGATAAGAAATGTACTCATTATCTTGCCCATGTAATTGTAACCCCTCTGTAAGTATGTTCACAAAAAAATAAAATAAAATGAAAAATATTACAAATGTGGAAATCCTTTGATCAGACAGAAATACCTCATGTTTATCAGAGAACTGACTCACATAGGAGAAAAGAAAGTAGTGCATAGAACATATGTGAAATGACTTTCAATCAGAACTGAGTATTCAGCATATGTGAGAGCAGAGACAGGAAAGAAATTATGAGTATAGAAAACATTTTGCCCGAAGTCCCATCTGTACAGGTATCAGAGACCTGGACACATGACAGAATCTCTGTAAATATAAACATGAGAGGAAGTCTTTCAACCAGAAACCAACCTTCAGCAAGTATTAGAACATTCACCCAGGAAAGAGGCCCAATGTAGGAAAATCTTTGTCAGAAAACCTCTGTAAATTATACAAAGAAATCCTTCATGGCAGAGGTAAGCTAGGTGTGAAGGGAAACCATTCTTCACTCTTCAGCTTTCTTTGAGCCAACATTTCTCATCCTCTCATCGTGTTAAGTGGGGATGGTGTCATTCAATATTATCATTTGGCAAATACTTTTGCTTGAGCTCAAAATTTCAGGGACATACTGCTCACTGAGTTGGTAAAGTAACCTTTCTTTCTTTTAATTTAAAACCTGCAATTAAAAATGAGCAATGACACTCCCTCATGTGTGGAATCTTAGCTACTCAGGAGGCTGAAATTAGAAAGGTAGTATTTGTAGGCCATCCAATGCAAAAGCTTCACGAATATGGTTTCTTAGCCAATAAAAGGATGGCTCTGGTCATATGTGCCTATCTTGTTTGCTACTTGTGATATGTAAGTATAAAATTAGTGTGTTGAAAGGCCCAGACAAAGAAGCAAGACTCTAAGGTGAAAAATCAGTGATACAAAAAGGCATCTGGTATAGAAGGTGAAGGAAGCCTCACAAATTTTGTCCCTGAATTCAACCTGAGGACCGCTAATATGATCTGTGCAAACAATGCATTCTTCCAATTATTTAGTGGAAGAATTTGGATGTGGTTTACAGAATGATAGGTAAACTGGCCTTTACTGAGATTGCAAAAGGACCTTTGCATATGTCTATATGAATTTTTTATCCTATTCTGTGGAAACCATGAGTCCTGCTTGGATCAAGTAGTTAAGATCTCCTGATCTAACAGGGCACTGGTGGTTCACATTGGAATTCTTAATTGCTCAAGAGTATGAGTTTTAAAATCACAATTGAAAGGCCAACTAGGTAGGAAATGCTCTGAAACTGTTTTCACCTAATTTCCCACAAGTAATGCTGTGAATCATGTTGATAGACTGTCATCACTTTTGTTCCTTTATTACAAAATCTCAGGGACAGTACCCAGGCCCTGAGTAGAAAGAACTTCAAGGCCGGGGAAGATATTTTTTAAAATGGGTTCTTTGGCTTTCATGCAGGAAAGTTTCCACTCCTATAGGAATCTGAAATACTCCATAGGGTATAGTCATTGTCCGTCAATTGAAGTTGATATTGAAATGTCTTAAAGCCTGGGTAATGATAAATTGTCACACATAGTTTGGTATCTTTTGTCATGTGAATAGACATGCCTATACCTTTATATTTCTGACTAGTTCATACGTCCTTGCAGAGGTTCAAGTTACTATGTAGGACAATGTGGTCCACATCTGTAGGAATTAGACATTCCAAGAGAGATCTCAACATATAAAATGTGGCCAAATTTTTCAATATACTTGAAACAGTATCATAAGAAAAGAAGGAGTCAATAGTGATCATTTAAGATCCCAGAATACCAATATATTTGAATGAGAAAACAATGGTCTTCTAATGTGTGCACACAGATGTAGGAGAAAGAATCTTTTCAGTCTATTCTGTCCAGATGTGTAGAAGCAATTTTGTTGTTCTTCCCTTATGGATTGCACTTTATTTCACGGCCACTCCCAGGGGTGAATGACAGGATGTTTAGTTTCAGCTCATTCTAAAAACTCCTATGTCCTGAGAAGAAAAGTGGTGAACCATGATTTGGGTACATATCCACCCTAGACCTAACCACTAAGAGTGGGTTAAGTTATGTAATTTTTCAGAACGTCAATGGTCCTACCACAAGGTTCATCCTATAGCAATATCCAAAGTTAGGCTTTAGAAGAGGTCTGCCTTTGTTCAAAGATTTCAACTCTAAATTAGATTATTTTCAATAGCCATTCATTGAATGTTACTGGATAAAGTATACAAACATAGTCACTTCTATGTTACAGAACGTTGTGATATCATCAGCAGGGGAAGTTCATATGACCCAAAGTCATGACCCTGAAGAGTCTGCTCTCCAGAGATCTAAGTATTTAACCCAAAACCTCCAGTTCCCAAGCAATCTTGATCCCAATGATAGAGCAGGATTTTAGGTGAATCCTTGTTTCTTCCTGAGGTTAACCTGGAATGATGCATCTCACCGTGACTGGAAGGGACAGAACCTGGGATACTGAGCACAGTGGGTACTGAACAAGGCTCTCATAGAATTTTCACTAGAACCTCAGGTCCCACCCAAGGCCTCCTTCCATTACCTTGAGCACTTATATCTTTAGTGTTGTCCACCTCTAGGTCATTTTCCTCCCATAATTAGCAGAGTATTAAGTGTACATTTTTCCTACTCCTTTGAGAAACATCTTACCCTAACCTCTCTTTTCTGTTTCCTCAATGAATTCTGAGGTTCTTTTAAATTTTTTTTGTTCATGTTTCTGGATCAGAAACATCCTTGTATGAAGTCCCTGTTATAAAGTTGTCAGTACTTTGAGAAAATCACTACTTGGAGCATCCACAGCTAACCATCTTTTCTTCACTTGTCCATGGGGTCTGAGCAAAACCAAGCCAAATCTTTATATGTGCATTCTAACTTAAATGTTTGTTACCAAAAGTTTGATGTAGAGACTTCATCAGGTGTGTTGGAAGTTGTTTGGGCTCATAATGCAAGGTACAGGAAAGAAAAGATTGGTGAGGAGACAGCCAAGGAAAGGAGCACAGTGCCAAAGTCTTCATGCAATATGCAAGCCTGGCAAGCCCCTTGGGACAGGAGTGAGGAGCCCAGAAGAGGGCCTGTGCTACCCATCAGTACACCACCAGCACCACATGGCACCTCCAGCATGGGACATGGTGTGCCCAGGTTTCAGGAGGGCTGACTGTTGACACAGGGACCTGTTAGTCAAGTTAAGCCAGTGGCCTAATGTAATTGTCTTGTCTTATGTAGATGATACAATTGCTGTGGACAAGAAGAATTGGTAGTAAAACTGTTGTCTGATGAGCTAGTTAAAATTCTTCAGGATATTGTGTGTGTGTGTGTGTGTGTGTGTGTGTGTGTGTGTGTGTGTGTGTGTGTGTGTGTGTCCTAAAAAGAAATTGAAAAGTAGTTCAGAGAGAACTCAAATGACAAGAGTGTCAGACTTAATTCCTCAGCAAGATGGATCCTTTACAATCACAACCAATAAGTGAAAAGGAAAGGTTTCCTTCACTTATTTTTACCTACCTTCACAAAGACCATTGTGTTCAAGATAATAAGAACAGAAATGTATGTGTTGATGCTTACTGTTGTACAACAGCTAGTTTACAAGTGACAGCAGAGGCATAGAGTCTCTTCTGTGTGCGGCCCCTGCACTCACTGGAAAGGAGGACAGTAGTATTGAAAGTGAAATAAAGTCACTTGTAAGTTTGTCTTTTAAATTGCAGGGAAGCATTGACTAATTTAAATGAGCAGACTTTTTGTTTTGCTGGTCCTTAGGCTTGACCTCAGAGGCCAGGTGCTGTCCCTGAGCTGCTTTTGCTAAAGTGTAGCATTCTACCTCTTGAGCCACAGCACCACTTCCAGGTTTTTCTGTGCATGTGGACTTGAGGAATAGAACCCAGCTCCTCATTCATGCGATGCAAGCACTATACCACTTTGCTACCTTGCTTGTACTATAGTACAAAAGTCTACTTATAAGTAGACTTTTTATGTTAAAAGAAGAAAGAATAGGTTGGTATGGAGTATCCACCTTCCATGTGC